ACCGCATCCCTTAATCCTCGAAAACGGCCAGCCGACCCCTCCCAGCCCTCGAAACCACCCTATCCGGCTTTCTCCTACCCGCAAACCACCCTATCCCTTCAAAACAACCTCCCAACCATCGGAACCACCCTTCCTCCCTTCCCTAACCCCCGAATTCGGCCCGCTAGGTGATTTCAGGGGCGTGGGAAAGGAGGGGAGCGATACTTCAATTTTTTTCTCTCCTTTTTGGTTTTTCGACAGAGGGGAGGGGAGTGGTTTAGGGGGTGGGAATGGACCAGTTAGGTTATTTTGGGAGTAGGGAGGGCCTGCCGACCATTTGTAGGGGGGTTAGGGGAGGTCGTCGGCCTGTTCTTGGTGGCCAAGGGTTGGGCCCTAGGGTGTCACGGTGGGGAAAGGGGAGGGGGAGGGGGTGGTTGGGAATGGGTTTAGGGTTTTTTTAAATTTTTTTTTCTTCCTTTGGAGCAATTACATGCTGACACGTGGATTTAAGAAAAAAAAATCATTTCAGCAGGTTGCCGGTCATTGGGACTACTAGAGGCAAACTGACCTCATATTTGGGATTATTAGAAAATAAACTTTAGTTGGGATTATTAGAAGTAAATCGCCCATAGTTGCATTATTAAAGTGTATTTTCCTTATTCTTTTGTATCATGGAAATTCCAATCAACCAAGTATTGAGGATAATAAGTCTCTTGGGCTAGATGGTCTTTCCTCGACTTTCTTCAAGACCCATTGGCAGGATGTTCGCCCTTTTTTCGTCTCGGCTATTGAGTACTTTTTTTTGCACATGGCTATATGCTAAAGGAATGGAATCGCAAGTTTTTTGTTTTGCTTCCCAAAATCAAATGTCTGGAATTGGTGTCTGATTTTTGACCTATTGGGTTGTGCAATGTTCTTTATAAATGCATTGCAAAATGTCACACCAGCCGTCTCAGTTTAGTTTTACCCTCTTTGATCTCTGACTTTCAAAATGCCTTTGTTCCAGGAAGATTATTATATGACAAAGCATTGATGGCCCATGAAGTACTTTCGTTCATGAATGCTTCTAAAGCTCAGAAGCGCTTCTATGCGGCATTGAAGCTAGATATGAAAAAGGCTTATGATCGAGTTCGATAAGATTTTTTTCTCCATGTCTTATAGGCCTTAGGTTTCCCTGTCTACCGAATTCATATTATTCAGCAATGTGTTTCGATAGTCTCTTGTCAGGTCTTGGTCAATAGGGATCCTTCGTCACCCTTTCAGCCCCAGTGTGGTCTCCGTCAGGGAGATCCTCTCTCCTCTTACTTGTTTGTCCTTTGTATGGAAGTACTTTCAATTATGCTTTGCATAGAGAGGATTAGTCTCTCTTTCATGGTATCCAGATGTCGAGAAAAGCCCATTCTACCTTTCACTTGTTCTTTGCCGATGATTCGCTGTTATTTTTCCAGGTCTCTCCTAATGCTTGCGACCGTGTTTTTAGCATATTAAACGATTTTTGTGAAATGTCAGGCCAGATGAATAACCTGCAAAAGTCGTTTGTTAAGTTCAGTCCAAATACTCCTCTCGACTATCGTTATTATTTGGCAAGTTGTTTGAAACTTCAATGTAGAAAGTCCTTTGGTCTATATCTTGGTTTGCTGGTGGATTTGGGGCGTAGAAAAGTCTCTGAGTTTCAGTTTCTGGTTGATAAGATTTCTCGTCAATGGGCTGATTTCGGTTCCCTTCCTTTGTCGGCGGCAGCAAAGTTAGTCATTATTAATTCAGTTTTGGTTGCCTCTTTTAATCACATCTTGTCTGTTTTGAAGGTCCCTTCCTCGATTTGTCGTGTCATCGATGGCTTGTTAGCTCACTTCTGGTGGTGTTCGTCTGTAGTTTCTTGAGGATTGGCCTTACGGTGTCCTCTTTATTACATATTCCTAAGGGTATGGGAGGTCTGGGCCTTCGTTCCATGGAATGTTTTAATTTTGCCCTGTTAGCCCGACAATGTTGGCGTTTTCGTCAGCATCCTCAACTCTTGGCTTCCAAGGTCTTGTCTGCCAAGTATCCTTCTCTGCTTAATCTGTCTGCCGGTTGGATCGCTTGTAAGTCGTGGGGTAGTCTCGTGGCTTGGCTGTTGGGATGAAGATTATTGCCAAGGGCGTTGCTTGGAAGATTGGTTGGGGTTCGTAGGTTCGTATTCTTAAAGATGATTGGTCCTTGGGGGGCCGTGTTCAATTTAAAGTCGATGTTGGTGGGTCGGAAATGCCAACTCATGTTTCTTTTATCCGTAATTCGCGTTCTTATGTGTGGGAACCTTCGTTGGTTCATAAGTATTTTGATGATCCTACAACATTTTGTATTCTGTCAGCGGAACGCCCTCTGCAACCAATGGGCGATTTTGTTTACTAGAAGTTCATGCGTGGTAGACACTTCTCTACTAAGTCAGCTTACGCTCTACTGGTCAGACATTCGATGGAGGATATTGTTAGCCATCCTACTTCGAAGTCATGGTGGAAGCAATTTTGGGGTTTGCCTATTCTTCCAATTTAAAGATCTTTTACTGGAAACTTCTCCATACGCTATGCCTCTTTTAGCCACTCTTTGCAAGTGTGGTATTCCGGTTAATTCGGTTTGTGTCTTCTACCGAGTGGATTCTGAGACGACTTCTCACCTTTTTCGAGATTATGCCTTTGTCTCCAATCTTTTTGCCCGCAGGTTTCCAAACTAGGGAGGTGCTTCCTTTTACCGAAAGCCTTCTCCATGCCTTATATAGGGATTCGTCATTAGATTGATGGAACGTAGATAGCTCATTCCTTACTTTTGGGTTTTCTCTTGCCCCAAGAATTTGACTAGGAAGGCCTTGGTAAGCTTAACCCACGTATCAAAAGAACCAATACCTTCATCTCGTAACCATTCCCTTGCTCTATACCGTAATGAAAAAGGGAAAAGGCGCTGTAATACCTTGAAAATTTCCATCTTTTAAAATACCATTTTTCTCTAAAATAAAATATAAACTTAGGAAATAACCAAAATATTACTGCCACCGTGATAATGGCTAAGGCTTTTCAAAGTCACACAGCGGAAGACTGACTTTTAAAAAACTTAAATGAAATAGAGTTTAATAAAACAACTCAGAATTCAAAACCAACTTACATTAAACCAAGCAATGATTTGGAACCATGAAAGGCCTTTTAAAAATCAAACTAAAATATTAAAACAATAATTATATGTTAGTGTCAACAATTAAATAAATAATTCCATACGATAAATAGTAAACAAAGAAACATATAACCCTCTTTGCTCAATCCCATCATGCTTGATATGCTCCTTCTACCTGTAATTCTCTTTATTTCAAACTCAATACTCGCCATATAAAATGGGTCATAGTAGGGTCAATCCAAAGAAAAACCAAACACAAACAACAAAGTACGAATCAGTAACAGCTGAGTACATATGCACCAATAGGAATAATTACACTAACATGAATATCCTAGCAATAGACAATAATAATAAATAAGTAAAACATGCTCGCCATGCAACACAAGCCAACTTACCTTTGACTCATGACTCTATTTTATTTATTAATAAATAGCTTTGAATAACGCATCGAACGGGTTTCCTTCCTTAACTATCCCTTAATAATAAGGGACCCCTCACTTGGGAGCTAACCAAGTGAGTACCAACTAGTGTCACCTTGTGACGGAATTCCAACGCATAATAATAATAATAATAATAATAATAATAATAATAATAATAATAATAATAATAATAATAATAATAATAATAATAAAAGAAAGTACAGCGTCCTGTACCCCTATAGAAGTTATGGTTAAATATAATACCCCATAACTCCCCTTATATGTTCATACTCAAGGTATATACGTTCCAAGAGTTTTTGGTGCCTATCCTCTTACACTTTATGTGATTTACCAATTTAACTTGTGATGACTCCAACCAATCAATCAAGAACGAACATAACAGTAATCAACATATGCTTCTATTTCATTCTTGAATTAATTAGTGAGCACATAAAATTTATTTTAATTAAGGTTCCTTGTCTAGTTTTGTGCACAAACTTTCACTATTACTACCTTGGTGCATAAGATGCACTAATAAACTTCCTTGACTCAATCTCAACGTATGTGAGTGAGTAATTAAATAAACTAACTTCCTTGACTTGATCCCAACTTATGTGAGTGAGTAAATAGATAAACTAACTTTCTTGACTCAACTCCAATAATATATGGGTGAGAATAAAATCATGAATAATGCTCAATAAATATAACATTAGCTCTTTTTGTTAAACATAAGTCTTGCTTATTAAATACATGCCTTCTTGATAATGAATAATAAATAATATGCTTCAATTACATTCAACTTATATCAAACCCATAATAATAATTTCAATATACTCACATGCTTACATAGAAGACATGGATAATCAATCAATTATTTCAAGTATCACACCAACAACTTAACATGATACTAATCTCTTACTTCACTAGTAGAGAAATGATCATTTGTGTCGCACTTTTAGAGTGTATTTGCGTCGGTTCTAGGTGCGAAACAAGTGTTCGCGACGCAAATGACTTTTAAGTCATCTGCATCGCACTTTTATAAAAGTGCGACGCAAATGATAATTATTTGCGTTGCTTATTTACAAAAAACGATGCAAATGAGTGTTATTTGCGTCGCTTATTTATAAATAAGTGACGCAAATGAGATTTATTTGCGTCTTTTTTTAATAAAAACGCGACGCAAATAGTGTTAAATGGTGAAGCGAATTCTAGTTATTTGCATCGCTTTTATACAATATTGTGACACAAATGAATCTTGTTTGACAATTCAAAAGCGAATTATTTGCGTTGCTTGTTTATTTAATGATCAGCGATGCAAATGATATATAAATATATATATGATACAAAATAAAAAGTAAGAAGCAATAATAAAGAATTCAAATATAAATTTTGGCAGAGTTTCCTTTGTAATTTGGCCTACCCATAAAATTGGGAATGACGGCGGCATATCAAAAACCTGTCCAATAAATTTACAACTCAATTCCATTGACATTATAGTCATCATTCAACACAATCACCAACACCAACCCAAATTGTTGGTAAACAAAATACATACATTCATGTCAATCCTAACAAATAGAACAAGAGTCTAACAAGTAAATGGAGTTTTGTAAGTGTAGATCTAAAGTTCAAAATTGCATACAAAATAGTCTGCCCAAATATCTCGAACCTCGTTTATCTCCTCATTTGTGTACGGTGTAGATCTTGAAAAATCCTATTAGCACAACACAAACAAAATATCAGTGCAAAAGTTTAATCCAAGTGTAAGTACTTCAAATTGTATTTATTAAGTAAAAATGAAATATTTGACACCTCATATCGTAATAAGGTCCTCACTATTATGATGATATTGCATTATTTCGAACATATAACGCATGACGTAATAGCCACATTCACGTCCACCTAATTGTTGAGGACACTACATACATTATAACAATTAGTTCAATTTAATTGCTATACATAACATTATTAAGAAAGTATATTTTGGGTAAGGCATTAAGTTAAACCTGTCCCAAATGCCATGTCAATTTACTTCCCTTAGATTGTCCACCTAGTGTCTTGTAATTTCGAAAAGCACTATACATTTGAAATAAATAACATATTTGTGCAAATTATATAAAAGCATTTATTAACCTTAAATAAATTCACATGACTCTATAAACAAACAAACTTACTTTGTCATTGGAAACTTAATTGCCAAATTTCGCTTTTGCCTCATAGAATCAAAGATGTAGACTTCACGCTTAGTCATGCATAATACCAGAAGAACCTAATGATTCCTACAATGTCGTATGTGTACTATCGCCTCAAACTAGGCAAAATTAACAAGAACTCACTTGAATATATTTTTAGTTATATACTATTGTTAATGAATAACTTTATACCAGGAAAAATTAACAAGAGGATATATAATATATCTGTGAAAAACAGTGGTCAAATCCAATAATTATAACACCAAAAAAAAAAACAGCGGTAGTAATTGTTACAGTACTGTAATAATTAACAAACTGGCTTACCTAATTAACTTACTAATTCACCTAACATTTTTCTGCTAATCCATTAAATTTTTAGAAATAGAATACAAGAACAAATTGAAACCCTAATTCTCAAACAAGTTCAAAGTCCAAGCCCATCAACAACCAAACTCAACAATTGAGCAAATCAATTCAACAATTTTGGTGAATTAATAAGTGAATGTTGCATCTAGAGATAATGAGTTACAAAACATGGACTCCTCTTAGTAGCAAATAGCCTCATAAAATGGCAAAAGCACCTTACATCACAAAGGTAGATAATTTCAGCTTCATGGTGCATCCATTTAAACTGTTTATCCAACAATTTAGCTTAATCATAATCTTGAAGATAAATGATAAAGGTACAAAGGCACACAAACCTTTCGAACAAAAACACCACTTAAGGTATTAGGGGAACTCTGGATTAACTTTTCTAAGTCACACAACCCTGTTGTGTTAAGATCAGATATTTCAAGTCCAAGCCATTGTTGAGGGACTTCCCTGGCACAACCCAAATCCAAATTTAAAAAATAATAACTTAATTAGAAATAAAAATAAAATAAAACGTTATTCAAACAGCAGCAACCACTGAAAGACTGATTTTAAAGAGAAAACAAGCTACAACAATAACAACATTACAGCTGAAAGACCAGCATGAGACAAGATTCCTTGGAAAAAAAAAACTGATAACCTCTTCACCCACCCACAAGCACAAGGCATAAAGTTATTCATTCAGACAAACAACAAAATTCATAACTCATCAGAATTAAGAGAGTTCTTTCCAGTGAATTGAAGCAGAGACCAGCTAATAACACCTAAACTTTTTGAACATCAATTGGAAATACCTCTTCACTAATTAAGAGGTAAGGCAACATACCTATCAAAAAAATATATATATTTATCAATCTCTCCATATCACTTATCCTAAAAGCCAAAAGCATTGTGAATTCTATTTTAATTTCACTTGCTTGAATATATAGCAAATAAAACATGGACAAAGCATCCTATCAATGGCAACATTAATAAGCAACCCACCAAAATCAATTGAACTCACATCACAGATAGTATAATATCATCACTTCACAATAGTATAAAATTCTGAATTCTGAAGCAAAGATTGAACAAAACAAAAATAACAATCAATTAAAAACGAAAAAAAAAACCAAGAAAAAAGAATACCTCAAAATATATTCGCTATTATTAGGCACGAATTTTCTCGTTTATGCTATAAATTAGGGTTCAAATTAAACCTTCAAATTTGCTGCATAAATTTACATACATTAACCAACAAAATCAATACATGTTGCTCGAAAATTAGGGTTTGAATTACACCTTCGAATTCGCTGCACAAGTTTAGGGTTCGTTACATGTGCGTTTTTGCTCGAAAATTTGCTCGAATTTGTTGCTCGAAAATTCTTCTTATGCTGCTGCTGGGAACGAATGAACGAGGTAGCTTAATTACCTTCGAATTTTTGCTCGAATTCGTGCCTTATGCTGCTGCTGGGAACGAAGGAAGGAGGTACTTAGAAAAGTTTTGGGAACGAAGGAAAGTTAGAAAGGTTTTTTATTTTGTATTCAGTTTTGGAATTACACTGTAGGTTATTTGCGTCTCACTTTTAGTAACAAGTGACACAAATTATTCACAAAATCATTTGCGTCACTTGTTCCTAAAAGAGAGACGCATATGACATTATTATTTGCGTCTCTCTTTTAGTAATAAGCGACGCAAATAACCTATATCAATGTTCAGCGTCGCACTTTTAATAAATAAGCGACGCAAATAACTTAAATTGAACTTAAATTATATCATTTGCTTCGTTTGTTTCTACAAGCGACGCAAATGAGGCGACGCAAATGAGCATTTCTCTACTAGTGCTTGATACCAAATTTAACTTCTTAACATGGTACTACGTATAATTAATACATCTTACGCGCATACGTACCTTAAATCGTCTTTCCAACTAGCCACTGCACAATGCTGGAAGTAACTTAAACTTAAAGCCTCCTATAATACCAAGTACATAACTCAATTAATCCCTTGATTACACAAATTTCCAGCAACTTGTAAACACTTTAAAACCCTTCTAATATGCTGAAACTTTGGTTTAAAGCCCTCAAAACTCTTTCTTTTAATAGGTAATTAAAATCCCAAAGTAAAAACTTAATTATAGTGTTTATATAAAACTTCTAGCACACTTTTTAAGGTTAAAACTCTTTAAACAACTCTAAAAATTCCATTAAAACCATTCAAATACTTCTCTTTATATGGGTAATCAAACCCTTTTTATAAAACCAAAAACTAGTGCTTAAATAAAAATTTCAGCAATTTAATTTAAATGAAAACTCATTAAAACTTCATAAAAATACAATCACTAGGGCTAATTATTAATCATAAACAATGGGTGTACAAAACCCTCAATTTGATTGCAACTTAGAACCCTAAAAATCAACACTTTAATAATTAAAACCCTAAAAATCTAAAATTTAACACACTTTATAATCTAAAATTTACATTCTTTAATAATCAAAACATAATTACAAAACATACTAGTGTTATTTAACAATTAAAAATCAAAACCAATTATCCAAAAAATATAATTACATAAATTATATATTAAAACGACTAAGAAAGGAGAGAGATGAAGCCCATCGTAGGGTGGTTGGCCAGCTGGCCATGGGACGCCGGAAGAGTGACATGGCAAGTTGCCAACATGCGTTCACCGGTGACGTGGCAACGATAGTACGGTAGCAACAAACTGGACTCATGCGTGAATTTCACGCATGAAAGGAAAACAAGGGAAAAATAAGAAGAAAAAAAAGGAAAAATAAGGAAAAAGAAAGAAAATACTTTACTTTTATATAAAACTTATCCTAAGAAATCTGATTTTTGAGCCTCTTTGTGTGGCAAATTTTGGGGTTTTTAATTTGAAGGTATTTATAGAGTAGAGAATAGAGATTAATTTTGGGCTTAATAAATAAGTGGGCTTTAGTTATGAAATATTTGACCCACAAGAGTTCAAATAAAGGAATTAGGCTTAGTTAAATAACATAGGGTAAGTCCAATAGGAGTATGTAAGGATTGTTTACATACGGTTATTTAAACGGGTCCAAATAATTAATAAACGATTTGCTCAAAATATATTTTACTTTTATAAACTTAATAATTAAAATACTTTATCCCTTTTAAATAATTTAGCCCTAAAAAATATAATTTATAAATACTTAAATAATTTATAATATACAAAAAATACGAGGTATTACAGGCGTAGTCTAATAGCATCATCAGTGACACCATTGAGCTTCATAGTGTCACACTTCTCCCAGAAACTATCAATGTGAGTCACAGGACAATCATTCGATGAGCCCGCAAAGAATCATTGGAGATGAACTGTGTGAATTGGGGCTTCAACTCAAAACTCTAAGCGGTGACAGGTGGTCTAATAATACTAGAGAGGAATCCGGTTGTTGTATCAGGAATACCATAATCCAAAAGAGATTTTGTTCCTGGGTCAATAACCATTGTATTTTCAATTTCTCCTTCTTCTACCTCTTTGTCTTCTTGCAGTAGCTTCGATCTCAGAGTCAAAGGTGTTAAATCATCTGAACCTGAACTTCGCATTTGCATGCAACCAAGAAACTAAAAACATGAGATCAAAGACACAAGAGACAATAGCCAAAGCAACAAAAAAAGCTTAGTAAAAACGAATCACGAATAACTAGAATGAAACTGTTAGTCACCGGCAATGGCGCCAAAATTTGATAAGCGTGTCGCGCACCTAACAAAAATAAACCTAACTATGTAGAAGGGCAAGTAAGGGTCGGATACCAAGAGACTATGGTTTAACCAATTATAGCGACTCAAGCAATTACTAAGCAGAAACCAATTCGAATAATGTTAAGGGGCCGTTTGGTTTGCACAGGGGAATCGGAATGGAATGAACAAAGGGAATGAAGGAGAAAGGAATGGATTGACCCTGATTTAGCCAGGTTGTTTGGTTGTGTCTAGGAAACGGAATGAACTGCTCATTGATTCTCTTTGTGACTGTTTGGTTCAAGCCATGAATCAAATTATAAGTTTTTAAATTTCTTTAATTTTTTCCAACAGTAACCTGTTATTATATGATAAACTTGTTTTATGAATTTACCTTATCTTCATGAAAGGAGTATGATAATTCATGAAAAAAATTTGAAGATTAGTATATTAAACGAGAAATCATCCAACATTAAATAAAAAAAAAAACAAGGTAAATTCATGAAAAAAACGTATAATTCATGACAAAATTGAAGATTGGTATATTTAAACAAGAGATCATTCAACATTAAAGAAAAAAAATAAAAATAAAAAAGGTAAATTCATGGAACCACTGTTCGTCATTGCCAAAAAAAAAAAATTAAAAAAAAAAAAATCAAACCCTTGACAAACGTTAGCACTAGTATTAATTACACACCATAATTCAACAAAAATAGGAATAAAGTGTAGTTTCCTCAACAATTCATGAAAAAAAAGGAAAAAAAAAAAGACTTGGTTAAGGTATAAAACATGAAGAAAAAGGAACAAGAACATGACGAAAGATGGTCGGAGATCGTCGTTGGTGGACGTACATTGTCAGAAGCAGTCGGAGATCGTCGTTGGTGCATGCATATCGGTGATGGGAGGGCGATGGCGGTGACATTGTGGTGAGGGGCGACGACGTTTCGGCGAGAAGTGGGTGAGGGTGGCTAATGTGGGTATGGTGGTTGTTGGGGAAAGGGAATGGGAAAGGCTAGGG